GGGTGTTGAAGTCCACTCATCTGAAAGGGGTTGAGGTTCAGAAACACTGGTGCAGAGCATCCATGCTAAACCTACCTTGCTAAATAATTCAAAACTCCCCCAGAAATGGGCAACCATTAAAGAAGCAAAACAAACAGAAATTACCAAAAAAAAAAAGTCATTCAAGAACAACAAAGGGAATTCACAGCTGGGGAAGTTGTATAAAGACAGATAGGACAGATAGATAGATAGACAGACAGACAGACAGAGTCTTTCCCAGCTGTGTTGGGGAAGATATACAGAGACAGATACAACAGACAGACAGACCTTCCCAGCTGTGCTAGGGAAGATATATAAAGACAAATACGATAGACAGACAAACAGGCTGTGAATTCATTTTTTGTTCTTGAATGGTTTATGTTATACACACACATGTTATGTATTATATATGTCTTAAATATACAGTGGTACCTCGGGATATGAATTTAATCCGTTCTGTGACTCTGGATGTATCCCGAGTTGGTCGTAACCCGAGGTAAATTTACCCTGCCGAAGCTGGTCGTAACCTGAAATGTTTGTTAGTAGAGGCGTTCGTATCCCGAGGTACCACTGTATATCTTATTATATGTCTTATTATATGTCTTATATATGTACCAAGCGTTTGGCGAGGGAGACTAAGACCCCTCGCTTCACCATGCTTGCCATTTTTTATCTTGATCTTTTATTGATTTTATTGCCGTTTCTTCGATTGATGTGAGCTGCCCAAAGTTGTTGAGAGGCGGGTGGCATACAAGTTTAATAAATGATGACCTTATTACTGTATAAGAGACATAATAGATGTGTGTATATGTAGAGGTGTATAGGCATACACACACACACATTGATGAGCAGTACCTGAAATGGATCAATGGTAGAATATCATAAGCAGGAGGTCATTCTACGCAGCAAGTGCCGTCAAAACCAACTTTTCCCAAATACTGAATCAACTGAACAATTTGCAGGAATAGAGGCAGCCAGCAGAAGCTGGAATATGGCAATGTTAGTCAGCCCCATAATACCCCTGCTGAGGAATTCTGGGAGTTGTAGTCCCAGGACATCTCTGGATCACCAGGTTAGAGAATTCTAGGAGCTGGAATCCCAAGATATCCTTAGAGAATATTAATGTAGCAAAAGCTATACTACATCTTGTTGGGGAAGACCTTAAACCCTTGACTTCTATTTCTGCCACCAATGGCCAACACGGGTTGCATTCACACAATATAGTATGGTGAATAAGTCAATCACAGTTTGAATAGCTGTATTTCCACACGTGCCAAACTGGATCACTGTTGACCTTGGTCAGTTGGTTGACTCTGCATGTTCAGTGAGTGATCCCAGCCTGTCCGGCTAACTCGTAGTTCCAAATATTGGGCCAGTGAGAAAGCGGGTTAATCCAGGAACCAGAGGAAACACGTTGTGTGAATGCAGCCGCCCTGTGGCCCAGCTCTGCTGAAGCCATGGTGCAGTTAGAGAAAAGATCTGAATATTGCTCTTCTCGAATATTCCTCGACGTAAGAAAAGGACAGGACAGCTTGCCCTATTTGTATTTTTTAAAACGCGCGAGGGACGAATCTGCTTTTGCTTTGCCGATCTCAAACGTTGCAGAAG